TATAAAATCGAAAATTTTCACACAAAAATAGGCATTCGGAGCCATTTTCACCATGAAGACAAGTCCAGAGGTCAAATTTTTTTTTTTTCAAATTAAAGTACATTACATTAGCTTTAATTTAAGATATATATAAAAGTGTCAGACCTTCCGGAACATTTTCAAAAGTTAAGTTGAAAAAGTTAATTTTTTGTGAAAAAGTTGTCATTTTAAATCCCCCCCTGTGGGCAGGTTAAGTGTCAGATTTACAAAAAAAATATACCAAATGATAGGTAAAGACATCAAGCATCTATATAAAAAAAAATTATATTGATATGTTCATTTTTGAAAAAGTTACGGCAGTTTTTAGTAAAAAAAATTGAAAAAATTTCGAAAATTAGCGATTTTTAAATTTGTAATTTTTTTGGAGGTTTCCCCCATTTACGGGGAACGAGGGAAATTTTTTCAATTTTGAAGGGTAATGTCTTCGACTAGATACGATTTGTGATCTTTTGACGTATCGTTGAAAGAAATCCGTTCGGTGAGAGCTGAGAAAAAGTGGGAACAGAGACAAAAAAAAAAAAAAAAAAAAAACACATCATAGTAAAACCAATACCTTCTCAGCTTCACATCGAAGCTAAAAAACACGAACTTAACATCTTAAAGCGCTGACAGACGTTACTTAATATTATAGCGAGATACAAAGTAAATGAATTATATTACCCCAATTATAATTATTAACTCTTTCTGTCCACGTCCATTGCAATGCACACAATTTTTATCATTTATTTATAATAATACATTAATTAAAAAATAACGGTTGTGATACGCATACAATTTACATAATTTGAAAAAGAATGTTGTTCCTTACACAAAATTACAAGTTTTGTTTGATTACAACTATTTTGCATGTCTTATATGATATAAAAAATGAAAAAAATTATAGTAGCTTTTACGTTTAAAGTTACTGGAAGCTGCTGAGTGATAATAGAAAACATAATATATGGTTAGTAGTAATAACAAAAATATGAAGTACTCTCTACATATCTATACGGAAACTACGAATCATAGTTGAATTTATTTGTCATTATCTATGGTAAATAGCTGTAAAACGAGAAGTCCAGTGGAATGCACATAGGGTGTGTTACACTGACATCAAAATATTAGAAAATAGAAAAAAAAATTAGTATTATGTACAATTTTGTAAAAAACGAAATTAATTTTTATACAACCCCCTTACCCCAAAAAAATAATATTTATTTTCTGAGTGCCAGCGTAATGTTACTCTAGCAACTCTAGTAAATTTTAAACTTAGGTGTTCCAAAATATGATGGAAAACAAAATTATGCAGTGTTGAATTTATGAAAACTAATTGTTTTATTTTTTCAGGTTTCTAATATTATGGACATTAATGTAATAATAATAACATTTCTATTATATATTAAATAAAAGTACATTTGTATTTTGTAGTAAACAAAAAAAAATAGTTTTACTGAATTTTCGCCGTGAAGACAAGTCCAAAGGTCAAATTTTTTTATCATATCTACATTACATAGTACATTACATAGTACATTACATANAATCCTATATCATGTAAAAAAATTGATCACTTGTGGCTAATATTATTTAAGATGAAAATTTATTTAAAACTATACAAGCTAGTATGTGTTAAGCGATAATAATATTAATATTGTTGCCAATATATGTACCTGCAATTTTTTAGTAATTTTTTGTGGACTTTTGAATTAAATATTTTTTAGTTTTTAATTAATATCTTAAACATAATATTAATTTTAGATAATCCTATATTTCTTAAATGACAAATCTTATGTTACTATAAAATAAATCAATTTGTTCTTGAATTTTAAACAATTTTAGTAAGTTAATTATTTTTTTATTTTTATGTTATAAATAATAATAATAATATTATTAAACAGAAAAAAACAAGTGAATAAAGATTTTCTAATGAAAAAATATAGATTTGCTATTATTTTGAGTCTTTATGTACATTCCAATGAACAACTCCCCCCTCGTCTCGAATAAAAAAATTTAATAACTAATAAATTCATCAAAATACTGTTTTTGCAAAGAAAATTACTAATTAAAAAAAAATTTTTACGTTTATTTCTAAATGTAGGACTGAAAGAGTAATCTAAGTAAGAATTCATAAAGTAATTAATTAAATACAATTATAAATAAATTTTAAATTAACTAATCATTGACTAGTTCATACCTTATTAATAGACACTGACTGGGTGTTCGTGAGAAAGCCACTGCCGCTTCGTTGCCTCAGTGTCTGATTAAATGCGTTTAATTTTATACCCCAATAAAGAGGATAATTAAATAATTCCTTTTTATATTTACTTGACTTAATTGTTCTAAGCCCTCAGGCTATACGACCCCGATAGACAACCTATACATTGCATAATTTATTAACTTAACATATAAAATAACTTCTATAGCATAAATAATTTTACAAAATTAACTTTTAAATCATTAATTAGCTATTCTTTAGGCATTTAATCAATAGCCCAATCAAATAAGCAATTTATGTAATTTAGCAAAAAAAACAAACTTCAAATTAGTGTGAACAAAATACGATTATAGCAAAAAGTTAAATTTTTTCTAGGGTATAATAAACAAAAATATCTATGGAAATCCAAAACTTTTTTTTAAAGTATAAAAAATTATCTCTATAATATATTTATCCATTATCATTTAATTTCTAGGTTATAATTCGAGCTGAAAATTCAAATTAATTCATCTTTAAAAATATAATTAATGATAATCATAGATTTTTCATATTATTCAAATTTTTTTTAATCGTAACATTTCTAGTTATTAAAGTACTAAATAATTACATGATACGATCATTCCTCCTTCATCAGAAGTAAATGTAACAATAGCAGGTACATCAGATATGATTTTCAATTCTTTTAGAGGATGATGACACAAAAAACCATCATGTTTTGGATTACACGCCTCAGCAACAGGTTTAAAAACAAAAGCTTGATGATGCCATGTCTATAAACAAAAAAATACACTAATTCAAAAAACTAGCAGTATTTATGAAAATAAGAACATGTGATATAATCTTATATAGTAACTACAATAAGGCTTTTATGGAATTAACATAATTGTGTGAAGTATTCATAGATTATTAGAAATAATTCATATTTTAAGTCTCAGTTTATTTATTTGAATTTTTAGAAAAAAATTATTAAACTTTAAATGTTTTGTATAAAAGTTATTTCTGTTGGGAACTAGGTTACATGATCAATTACCATTAACTTTGTTTCAAGATCAATAAACATATCAGCTGAAAGATTTTTAAGACAACCTAGTATTTCTTCAGAACTTTCAAAAGCACATCCTGCAATTGTAGCTAAAGCTTCTGTTCGTTTTCTTATTAGTCCTGGTTGAGATACTGCCCAAAAGCATAATGGTGTTCCACTTTGAAGTATTGCTCTATGAAAAAGTCCTTTACTCATCGAAGATAGCAAATGCAATCCTACAGAAACTCCACCTGCACTACCACCAAAAATCGTTATACGCTCTGGATCTCCATTAAATGAACGTATATTTTCTTGTACCCACTTCAAAGCCATTACTTGATCTTTCAAACCAAAATTTCCTGTTATAACATCGTCTTCAGTGCTCAAAAAGCCTATAAGAAGTTACCAAGTAATAATAATAATGTTACACTAAAATTATTAGTTCTTTTTAAATTGAATTAAACTAACCTAATACACCTAGTCTATAATTTATTGAAACTATAATTATGTCTTTATCCATAAAATATTTTGGTCCAAATCTGTCTGGACCTCCATATCCTACTTTAAATGAACCTCCATGAATCCAAACCATTACAGGTAACCATTTTTCATTTGTTATTGGTGAATAAACATTAAGGTATAAACAGTCTTCACTTCCAACACCAACTTTCTTTTGAATACATTTTTTCATTATTTGTGTTGCATCAAAAATATTTGTCCATGGTTCACACGGTTGGGGGGCCTAAAATTAAATTATTATTATACATAAGCTAAAATTTTTTAAGCTAAATAAATGATGAAAATGGTTTACAGTATAGTGTTATTATGAAACATCATAATTAATCAAAAAATAAAATTATTATTGATTACTTTTTGAGAAGGTTCAATTAGTTACACAGTTCTCTCAATTTATTAATCATAAAATATTTTTTTCTTCATTCCTCATGCCTAATAAGGGTGTCCACTTTATTTTTTGAAGGATAACATACATACTTTCCTAGCTTATTTATTAGACATGGATCGAATTGAGAAAATGACTAATTGAAAACAACTTTTGGACTAGTGTTTTAATATAATATTAATGTATTTTTTTATTATTTTACAATAAAAAGAATCATAACTATTATTATTAATGATTTATTATTTTCATAAAAATATATGTCTGTTACTTACATTGATAACTAGTATTACAAGAATTATTAATAATTTAAACACTAGAGGTGAAGCCAAGTATAAATATTAGCTCCAATGCAAAGCTGAGAACATATTAATTTTATTATTATTATTTTTTTTTTTTGTATCTATAATGACTTTTTCACAGCTCTCACAGAAACAATTTCTTTTAACGATACATTAAATGATCTTCATACTTTATATTTTAACTTTATTTGTGTGTTACTAAAAGTCTATAATATTCAAAAATTTTTGGTAACATGTTGCTATATAAATCATAAATCTAAAAAAAATATTATTTTTATTTTTACCTGAATTTAACAAAAACTTTTTACAATTATAATTAAATTTTATAATACACTCAATTGAGTAAATTTTTTTAAGAACATTTTGATTGGTTTTTTTTTTGTATGTGAATCATTAAAATTAATTATGTTTTGAATATTTCAATTGTAGAATATTTTTAAACACCAAAAACCACTTGGAAATGATTACTATGATTTCTATTTAAGTGATCTATTACAATAAATATGCAAACAAATATTGAGCTTTTCTGATGAATTTACAGTAAATAGTAATTATACAATTTTCTGATTGCATATTCATTTTAACAATACTATATTTTATTCTCATAAAATTTTCTATTTAATAATGTAAATTTCAAACTTGAAGTTGAGCCAAAATTTATGGTAACAAATTTAACTTTTTTTTATTATAAACATTTAAAAAATCAACTTTAAAAGACCAAAAAATAGATTAAAAATTAGATCATCATATACTAAATAACCTAAATAATTATGCATGTTTCAATTAAAAAAATTAGTTGACACCCTTGTAAGATATAAGGGATGAACATAAAAAATACATTATGGTTAGAAATTAAGAAATCAAACTGAAAGAAACCAATAAAATTTTTTTAATTTAATTTAATTTTTTAAAAATTAAATTTTTATTTTTTGATTTGGTTGACCCCAAGTAGTTGGGATGAAAGCGAGGATCAAGAAGAATTTTTTGATTAATGAAGTGGTTTATGATAATATAATCACTTATACTCTATAGTATAGAGTACAATAAGTTATAACTATTGAACTATCGACAAAATTACTGTACTGGAAAACACATTTGTAAATTTTTTTAACTACAATTATAGCAAAATTAATTATAAGGTAAAGTTATTTTTCTTAATTACTGATATACTTCATGAAAAATAATTTTTTTCATATAATATCTCATACTCATTAGTAAATGAAACAATGAAATGACATTATTTCAATTTTTCACAGTAGAGTAATCAAAATAAAATTATACTTTTATTCATAATAAATACATTATTTTAAGTTTAACCTTTTTAACTATTCATAAGTAATCAGTTATCAAATTCTATCTTTAATAAAAACATATATTTTTGTTACTTTAAACAAATATTTACTTTATTTAATACTCAACCTTAAATCTAAGTTCACCAATTGGTGGTTTGGCATAGGGTATACCGGTAAATGATAAATACTCTCGGCCATGTCTTGATTGATAAAATTTTCCTCTTAATACTCCATTTTTAATTTTTATCTCTAATTCAGACGAAGTTATCAAATGCACACATATAATTAAAAAAATTATGAACTGTTTCATACAAACCTAAAAGATTATTTAAATATTTTTAAAAGATATGTTACATTAATATTTATCTAACATTAAATTGATAAAAAAATTATTTTCGATACAAACAATAAAATCATATTTTAACCTTGATTTGAGTTGTATATGACTTACATATCATCATACCTACACTAATATGCCCACACGTACACTATATGTATTTGTAGAATGCGATCTATTTAATAAAATATTAAATATTTAAAACAAATAAATTATAAGTATTTATTTTTTCATTTTATATCTGATGCATATATTAACCCCACCTTTAAAAAAATTTAATTTTTATATAATCTAAAATAATAAAATACTTACAAGTATACCCATTTTTAATGCCTCTTATTTTATTATATTTTAATTAACATGAAATGTTATTACTTCCTCGTATTAAACTATTGATACATTAACTAAAAAAATTTAAATTACAACGTAATTAAATATTTATGAATTGATGTTATGCACGAGACGCTATTAAAAAAACAATCATCACACATTAAAATCATAGAATATGAAGTGATTTTAAACTTTATGTAAATATCTTACGAATATCGCATGCGCAGTAGAGTATTTGTGTAATATAACACACTATTATGTATTGATAATTTATTTACCTCGTAGTAAATAATAAATATTTAGTTTCTGTTATGATTTATAAATTGAGAATAATATGTATCTAAAAAAACATAAAAAATCATCAATATTATTTATATTTTTGATTAACTTAGTGATCAATGATAATTGAATCGCCTGTATTTTATTATAATATTAATGATTTATGTGAATTATTGTTCTTCGTTATTGTTATATGATATTTTATAAACCCTTAAAGATAAAGTATTACTAATAAAAAAAGTGTTGTTTCCGATTTGAACATTTATATATTACTTAAACAAATATATAATTAAATAAAGATAAAGTTATTATGATTAATTGCAGAGAACTTTTACGTTAAAAATAAAGACTACATGACAACTTAACAGAGAAGTGAGAAAAGAGATTTTTGAGGGTCGTCCGTATCGTCCGTATTTTTCATGAAATGATCAAAAATGTTCAAAAAGTTAAGTGCATGAAAAAATTACATGAAGTGGCGAGTAATTGGAGAATTCTGTCACATTCTCTCTTATTTTGCTCTGAGAGAGAAAATATATGTAAAAATGGCAGAATCAGGCAGACTATAAGTTTGAGTAGTGATCAACCATGCCATCATACGACAAATATTGAAAATCGTTCAATTTTTCTTTGCCATACCTGGCCATAATGCGAATTGTGAGCGCATTTTTTCGCTAATGGGTACTCAGTGGTCTAAAGAACGAAATTCGTTGGATGTAGCTACTGTTCGCGATATTTTGATTGTTTAGTTCAACTTCAAAAAATTGTCATGCTTGGATTTTGTAAAATATCTAGAGCGACCGTAAAATAATAACTTGGTGAAAAAAGTTGGGTCGTCGGAAAAATATCGTTGAAATTAAGAATATGTTTTATTGATAAGGTAGATAAGAGAGATATTGTATTGCGAATACTTGAGATGTTCATTACAATATAATTATTCAGACAATAAAACCAATTGCAGAATGAATATGTATGTGATTTATAATTTATTGAAAATTGATAAAATAAGTTATACGTAAGTCGTAAAATCAAGTAAAATGTCAATCTAGATTATCGATCATCGATTCCTATTGATAACAATTAATTTCTATCGATTCTCATTAATTTTCATAAATGCGTATCACCTATCACGCAAACAAATTAAAATATTTTTTTTTAATTTGATAATTTCTACTACTTTTTGAAAATTAAAAAAAAAAACTTTTTTTCCAATTATCAAAAGGGGGGGGAGTAGGTTTTGATATGTCCGTATTTTGCACTCGGAACATCTGGTAGCCCTAAACATAGTATATGTATTTATATCATGATCGGTGTTATCATACATTACACACTTTATTTGAGTTGAGAAAAAATAGTAATATGACATGTATAATAATAAATATTAAATAAATTATTAAACTAGGTACACAGTATGTTAACATAATATCATATATAATAAAATTTAGTACATAATAGTTATACATATAAAAATATTATAACAAAAATATGAAGATTATATTATATAAAAATTTTTTATTATTTTAACAACTTAAATTAATTATTAATATAAGTAGTCTTTTATGACATTAGGTTTATGTAACCTTTTATAATCAACAAAATTTTTATTAGATTCAAAAACATGTGTTTTTGAACCCAACCCAACCTACTATCAAAACTTTTATAAGGAATGTCCTTCTCTTCAGTGTTTATATTAATTGGTTCTAAAAATCTATTCCTCAAATGCCTACTCATTCTTCTAAAATCTTTTTTGTACAAATATACTAATCAACAAGTCCTGAATTGGTTTTTTTAAGAATTTTTTTTCTTGAGACCCATACTTTTAGAAATAATATTTCATCTTGTGGTTCAATCTCATCACACATTTTTGCTTGTCTATTATAATGTTTCTGAATATCTTTTCTCCTAATTAATAATAATATTAATTAATTCTCCTAATACTCTTTCCAAAATTGATAATTTTTCCTTCAATTTTCTAGACATTAATATTTTTGCAGAAGAATGATCAAAATTTTCTATATGAGTGTTTCTATATTGTGGCTGTGCTACATGTAAAGTATAATTACACTAAACATTATCATTTTATATTTTTTTTTTATAAAACTGACCTTTTACCTGCTGACAGGGAGGGATTTAAAATGGCAACTTTTTCACAAAAAATAAACTTTTTCAACTTGATTTTTGAAAATGTGTCCGGAAATACTGATACTTTTATATATATCTTAAATTAAAGCTAATGTAGTATACTTTAATTTGAAAAAAAAAATTTGACTTCTGGACTTGTCTTCATAGAAAAAATGATTTCCGTAATAAAAAAAACCCAGCACAGGGGGGTCGCGGCACAGTGGTGACGTGGCATAGTTGGATCAAGTATAATGATATCTGACAGTGATTAAAATCACTATCAAAAAAAAACGCTTCGATGCAAATCTTTAGATAGTGTTTAATTTTAAAAAATTGGTGGATTATTCCAAAAGCTTCATAAACTGCTAGTTCCTTATTAATATCCTGATTAAGACAAAGTATGTCGAATAAAAAAGAGATTATTAGAAAATAGTATTTCCCATAAAAAAATTATATTGATCAATACACTTTTCAATAAGTTATAGCATTATAATGTTAAAAATGTAAAAAATAAAATTGAGAATTTTCACACAATAATAGCATTTGGTAGCCATTTTCACCTTGAAGATAAAATAAAGTCCGAAATTTTTTTTTTCCATGATAAAGTATATTACATTAGCTTTAATTTAAGATATATATAAAAGTGTCAGACTTTCCGGAACACTTTCAAAATTTAAGTTGAAAAAGTCAATTTTTTGTGAAAAAGTTGTCATTTTGAATCCCCCCCTGTAGGCAGGTAAAAAGTCAGATTTATAAAAAAAATATACCAAATGATAGGTAAAGACATCATGCATCTACAAAAAAAAGAATTATATTGATCCATACATCTTTCGAGAAGTTATAGCATTATAAAGTTAAAAATATAAAAAAGAATTTTTTTACAAAAATCGTATTTTTTTTATTAAGTTTAATGTCTGTTTTCACCATGAAGATAAAATAAAGTCCGAAATTTTTTTTTACCATTATAAAGTATATTACATTAGCTTTAATTTAAGATATATATAAAAGTGTCAGACCTTCCGGAACACTTTCAAAAGTTACGTTGAAAAAGTTCTACTTTCTATATGCATTTTTATGTTTTGAATCCCCCCTGTATTTAGGGAAATGGTCCGATTTAAAAAAACAGTATGTCGAATGAAAGATCTATATAAATACTACTTCTCATAAAAAAATTGTAATGATTCATACATTTTTCAAAAAGTTATAGCATAATAAAGTTAAAAATGGAAAATACAAAATCGAAAATTTGCACACAAAAATAGCATTCGGTAGCCATTTTCGCCATGAAGACAAGTCTAGAGGTCAAATTTTTTTTTTTCATGATAAAGTATATTACATTAGATTTAATTTAAGATATATATAAAAGTGTCAGACCTTCCGGAACATTTTCAAAATTTAAGTTAAAAAAATTAATTTTTTGTGAAAAAGTTGTCATTTTAAATCCCCCCTTGTGGGCAGGTTAAGGGTTAAATTTATGAAAAAAATATACCAAATGAAAGGTAATGATATTATGCATCTATATAAAAAAGAATTATATTGATATGTTTATTTTTGAAAAAGTTATGGCACTTTTAAGTAAAAAAAATTGAAAAAATTTCGAAAATTAGCGATTTTTAAATTTGTAATTTTTTTGGAGGTTTCCCCCTTTTACGGGGAACGAGGGAATTTTTTTCAATTTTTAAGGGTAATGTCTTCGACTAGATACGATTTGTGATCTTTTGACGTATNTTTCAATTTTTAAGGGTAATGTCTTCGACTAGATACGATTTGTGATCTTTTGACGTGTCATTGAAAGAAATCGGTTCGATGAGAGCTGAGAAAAAGTGGTAACAGACAAAAAAAAAAAAAAAAAAAACACATCTTAGTAAAACCAATACCTTCTCAGCTTTGCATCGAAGCTAAAATATGATATATTTATGAAAAAATTCTTTATATTATATTTTACATTTTAACTTCGATGCGAAGCTGGAAGATATTAGTTTACTATGATATTTTTTTTTTTGTGTCTGTTATCACTTTTTCTCAGCTCTCACCGAACCGATTTATATTTATTTTTCTACCAAATCTCATAGTGTAAAATTTTTCACAAGCAACTGATATTGCTAATATCTCCTTTTTAATCTGGGCATACTTTTTTCATTATTATTTAGATGCATAGGATATTACATGATTGTCTTGAAATAATGTAGAATCTAAACCAACCATAGATGCATCAGTCTAAATTAAGGTTGAGCTATTTTTTGGTGGATTTTAGTGATCATATAAAAAAAATCCGGTAATTTATAAATTTTACTTTTAATAATACATATTATTTTTATCATATTATTAATAAGTATTGATAATATAATAAAATATAATTATGTATCACTCTCAAATATCATCTATACTTGTACCATCTATGCCAAGTTTACA